TTTGTTTGTTTAATTAGCCGTTTTGTATTAATTTTAATTTTTTTAAATAAAATTTTATTTATGAAATAAAATATTCATTCATAGAAAGAAAGGAGAGAAGCTTCGAAGTTAACTAAATTGATTAAATCCAATCATTCAAGTTTAATATCACTCAACTTTCTGCTATTTAATTTTTTTTAAAAAATTTATTTGTTTATTCAGCTGATAATTTTACGTACAAAATGAAAATTAAATACGTCGTATACATCAGAATCATCCATATAATTTATATTTTAGTATATAGACAATTTTGCCAAAAAAATTTTTATATTTAATGAAATATAAATAATTATAATATTTAGCATTAATTAATATTTTACAGCATTTATTAGAAATATTTCTTTCGTCTACAGTTACCAATAATAATTATTTTAAGCGTGATTCCAAACCTTAATCCCTTTATTCCTCAAATACTTTAATACCCACAAATCCCCTTCAATCCCTCTAACTTTTTTGTCAACAAAATTTTTCTAAAATATGTATACGGGAGTAGTTACCAGGGCTTGGCTAATTTTGCATTGTGCGACTTTCGCATATTTTGCATTTTTGCGAGAAAAGTTACGCGTTTAGTATTTCACATTTTTTTTTGATTTCGCCCAGCCCTGGTAGGTACGAGTGTTGACTTTAAAAACCCTCGTTCAGCAACTAGATTTAACGCAGGTAGACTTTACTAGACTTAACGCACTTAATGCAGGTGTTTCGATAAGAAAAAGAGGTAAAGGGAAACTGGTTAGTCAACAAACTATTGGCAAAAAATTGCACTAAATTTTTTCACACGCCTTCGTATCCAAGCAAAGTGTGAGCTTTAAAAATTAAATTATAATATTTTCTTTATTTATTTCTCTGTCATTTAAGTTTAACTTTAATAAAGTTATGTCATAAATAAAGTGCCCAGTTACTTTTAGGTTATCCAGTAATTTTAATTAGAAAAAATATAAATAATTCTAAAAATGCAAAGAGACTTTGTTAAAAAATGTAAAGTTTGTGAGTCAACCATAAGTGTTTGTTTTCATTATGGAGTTTGTACATGTAGGGCTTGTGGGTCTTTTTTCAGGTAGTTTTTAAAAGAATTTTATTTAAAATTTTTTCCCAAAAAAGGCGTTATCTTTTAAATGAACAAGGATGTAAATATAAGGAATGTAAATGTTCGAAAGAGAATAATAACGAAAAGTCACAAACAAATTTGGCAAAATGTAAAAAATGTAGACTTGAAAAATGTTTTTCTGTTGGAATGAAAAGATTGGGTTTGTTAAAATATTTAAAAATAATTTGAAAAGAATTTTAGATGTTGGATATGTACGTCAAGATATATGCCGGGAAGCAATGGAGGGAAAAGGGAACGAAATTAAAGTAAAAGTCTATTTTTTAATAATGACGGATCCGTACACGCCCATAGACTTTTCCACCTCGTCGGAAGATCTCAATGGATATTGTAATCTCTCGATGAGACACCGATGTTCCCAACTCTAAACTAAGAGGGTGTTACAATTCGGAATATTAAAATCCTCAATGATAGGAAAAATCCTAAACCTAGCTAAAAATTGTACTAAGACTTCCCTATTAGGACATGTATGCACAGATATCTTCTAAATCTAGTCTCTTCTCCGTTGTGGGGGAAAAAGAGCGGAAGTTAAGACGGCCTTCAGCTTTACACTACTTAGCCTAATCCAAAGAGCGCCCAAATAATCGTGATTCGCATAGTCGCGATAGTATTGAGTGTATCTTATACGAGGCTAATTTTATTTGTTTTTTAAGCCTTCAAATCATTCAATTGTCGAAATAACCATGAAAGACCTAAATCTAATAAACTCAATTTTACCAATTATTGAAGCCAAAAAACGTATTATGCATGCATTTAATGATTTGGATGATATATTCCTTAATGGCCCGATTTTGTTTGAAGAAATAATTTTGTCTAATTTTAATATTTTTCGTTTAACTGACAATTTTTCGGTAAATTTTAATATAATTTTTAATAAAAATTAATTTCGTTTTAAAGCCAAATCCGGGTCCAATACCTTTTGATGAATTAAAAAGCTGGGAATCTTCAGTACAAACTGAGGGAATTTTTAACAAACGTTGTCTCAAATATTTTTTAGTTAACAGACTTTTGAGTGTTGGTATAGCTAAATCTATGCCTGTTTTTGAGAAATTGACTTTATCTGATCAGGTGTTTTATGTTCATTTATTTTTGACTATAGTTAGCGGTGAATCGGATTTTAATTGTAATAGAATAGCAAAATATGATCACAAAATATTTAAATACATTATTCTTTATTTGATAAGGATATGAGATATCCGTCAATACATCCGCAGATATATTGCCATAACTTTTTTGCCTCCAACACAGAAAAGTGAATTTCTTTCGTCTACGAGTTTGGTTTAGACCAGCTATGTTTCGAAACAAAAAAATATTCGAATATCTTCGAATTCGAATAATGACTAGAATCGAGACCTATTTAAATCTTGATTTCGGAGCCGTTGATTTTTCAAACCGCTTCTTGTTGTTCCCAGACTCCGGAAGGAAAGTTAAAACTTAATATTTTAAAGATTGCACATCTAAGGCAGATTTGTCATTTGTTTACTTCATTTACTAACACCTACCTAGCTTGGGAGTTAGGCTCTGAAACTATGACACGTAAAGATAATATTATGCCTGCTCTTGGTTTTAAGAAGCAATTTTTGCACGATGATAAGTAAATATTTTTCTAATAATCTTAAAGTAAATTTCAAAAGATTTTTTTTTGATTTTCAATTTTTAGAATAATTAAATGGACAGATCAAACATTTACAAAATCTGTTGCCCATTTTAAACGTGCTTCATTAACAAAAGTTGAATTTGCTTTGTTAATAGCTATTATTTTTACGAAACCGGGTAAACAATTTAATTTAAATTATGTGCTGTGGCCGGTAATTCCTGCAATCCCGATAATCCCGTTCTAAATTTAACGCGATCCCGCGGGATTTCGGAATTTTTGTATAAAAATTTTCGCAATAATATTGAAGATATTAGAAAATTTGAAGGGATTAAGTAAGGTAATTAAAAGTATATCTAGGTATATTTGTGGTGAATCTGTGTTATAAGAGGATGTTGAGTGATATAGGTGGATTTAAAATTATTTGGAGAATCAGCTGGATTAGGAGGATTAAGGAGATCTGTAGATCAAGGAAAGTTGTAGGGTTACCGGCAGATTAAGTGTATCGATATTACGGTATTACCTCAAATCCCTCATATCTTTCCAGATCGCTTTATATCTTCTAATCCTTCGTTATCTCTCTAAGTCTACCGATATCAGCTTTAATCGGTCGTATTTATATTTCCTTTAATCCCTCTACATCAGGGTTGGGCGTTTAGGATTGCGTGCAACTTTTCACACAATTTTTCGACTTTTACTTCTTGGAATTCCAAAATTGCAAAAATTTTCGCCTGCGGCGCTGAAAGAAGAAATATATTTGCAAGTTGAAGGAAAAAATTTCAGATTAAATAAACTTTATAATTTTTCATATAAAGATGCTGAAGGCTTGTCTCCCGAAGGAAAGGAATTACTTTATAACGAATCTGTTAAATACACAAATATTTTACTTCGATACAATCAACGAAGATTAGGTTTAATTGAAGGGGCTCAAAGATTGGATGAATGTTTTCGTTTAATTAATCGAAGTATTGAAAATCATTATACTTGGCGGTTAATGCTTTATCATCAACAAAAATACTATTCAATGAGTATTAGTTACTTTAAATGTTCAAACTTTATGACAAAACTTTTGGAAGGAAGTGATTAAAGAATGAATAATTTTATTAATAATATCTACATATATTTTCTCCTCTATTTTGTTCAAGAAAAGTTACTTCTTATTGGGCTGTTGATTCTGTTTAAAGAAATAGTCTAATAAACTACAATTTTACCTTTTATTACTTTTAATCTTATTTTTTCATTTTATTTTTTTACTTCATTTCTTCCATATTTTCTAATGACCTCCATCAATACACACTATTTATAAATTTTCTCGACTTTTAATAGTTAATAATGAGTAAATTTCCTACAATTCAAAATTTCCTACAAAATTAAAAACATTTTTGGGGTTTTAATTTTTTAAGTTCACTGTAATAAAAGCCCATCCCAAATTTTTACGCGAACTTTTATTAGAATTTTCTAAATTAAACATTGTTTCTTTGTTTTTATTAAACATCAAATAAAAATAAATACAGGTTTACCAGGAGGTAGCTGGCACTTTATTTATGACTAGGGATGGGATTTATATGAATTTCCATATTTTTTTCTGGCCTAGTTGGGTCGTGAAACACACGAAAATTATTTTCCATATTCAACCATATTTTGTCATTTTTTGTAAAATTTTGCCAAAAATTGGTCAAAATTTTGAAATTTTTGTCAAAAAAATTTGGCTCTATTACACAATATACGTCCAATCAACTATTATGCGTCCAATCAAAGTTTATACGTCCAATGAAAAGTTTATGCGTCCAATGAAAAGTTTATGCGTCCAATGAAAATTTATACGTCCAATCAAATTTTTATACGTCCAATCAAAGTTTATGCGTCCAAATAAATTTTTATATGTCCAGTAAAAAAATAAATTCCAAAGAAAATAACAATAATTTTTATTTATTATAACGCTTTACTCAAGAGCTAACAGAGATTCATTTAAAATAATTTAAGAAACGAATTTAATGTGTGTCTCCTATTACTGGCGGCGACTCACTCATTACTGGTCTCCCACCCATAAAGTAAACTCACTACCGTTCATGCCGAAACTATCATAATATCTCCTAATACTATCATGGATTATTATGTATAAGTTTCTTCGAAACCTTGTCAGGGTTTTTTGTCAAGGTTTCAAACCTTGTCGGCACAAGAGTTCAAGTTAGAGTTCTAGGTCGAGTCGAAGTTCTAATCGAAGTTTCGAGTCGAAGTTTCTAGTCACAAGAGTTCTAGGTCGCGTGGTCGAAGTTGATGAGTCAAAATTGTAGAGAGAATGATCGAGGGAATATGTTAATGCGTCTATACGATTTGGTGTTTGATATGGTCGAGCTAGTAACTAATAAAGTCCGTTTCTTCCATCTTGCTGATAAAACACCTTATACATATACCGTATTTACTGTATTAGAGCCCCATGGGGCTCTATTTTTCAACTATCCCGAAAAGGGGGGCTAAATTAAAGAGGGGGGCTCTAATTCAGACGGGGGGCTGTATTCTCAAGGAATTTATGAGATTGAGGGATATAAAGTGATTTGGAGTATCAGGAGATTCAGGAATTAAGAGTTGGACGCATAAATTTTCATTGGAGGCATAATTGTTGATTGGACGTATAAAAGTTGATTGGACGCATAATAGTTGATTCGACGTATATTGTGTAATAGAGCCAAATTTTTTACAAAAACTAAAAAACATATTTTTAAATAAACTGAAAATTTATTTAAAACAGTATATCTCGTGAAGAATTCGTTTAGATGACATGGATTATTATTATTATTATTATTAAGTAAAAAGTGCTTTTTCTAATAAGCCATAGTTTTAAAAATAACCCACAGTACTTATTAAAATATACACCAGTTTCCGAAACTGCTTCAATTTTTTCGGTGCAAAAGTTTATTTACACTTTGCAAAAATTAAATTTTTAGATGAATAGATGGCAATAAAAACACAAAAAAATTTCTGTGGTCATTTCGATTAATATTGAATATAAAATCAGAAAGAACAATATTTCTAGCTAATTTTTTCATCGAGATCTCAAATCTCGAAAATCAACGGGAAATGGGGTTACAGTACTTCAAAAAATATTTTAGCTCCCTAGGGCCTGTAACAAAAATTCTTTTTGGGCTCATTAGAAAGCCCATAAAATTTGCTACAAAATACCATTGGTCTCATATTTGTAAACAAATCTGTATAGTAGCTAAATGTGGGCTACTTATTGTGAAATTAAAAATGAGCATTTTATGGGGTATTTTTGGAGATCATCTCTCAGCAACCCGTAAGTATTTTTGGAGTTCATCTCTCAGCAACCCGTAAGTATTTTTGGAGTTCATCTCTCAGCAACCCGTAAGTACCAAACCTTAAAGGCTATAACTAGGGATCTGATTTTTATGTCGTAAAACCCTTAAAATAGGTACCTAAATAGGTTGTATAAAATACCAAAATTTGTGACAATACATAATAGACAAATAGTTATATTTTATAATTTCTTTAGAACAATCATTTCAAATTTTTTCAAAACACTTTTTAATTTTTCTATAAAATAAAAAAATAATGCATGACTATGCTATCATGTTAAAAGAAACAAATTTTATAACTAAAATTTAAAAATCCATGTTATGTTAGAATAAATAAATCCCAAATCACATCTTTCTTCAGTTTCTTTACAATTTGTTCATTCATCAGAATCGGGATATTCATTTAAATCAAAATTAATTTGTTTCCCCTTACCTTTGGAACTCGGCCCTTCATCAGGTTTGGAAGTTGCAGGTCGAGAAGAACCTCCCTCTTTAATTATTTAAATTATACAAAATATTATTGAAAAGATACCATTAATATTTATTCTTCCCCGATGTCGCCCTCCTAAAGACGCAATTCTTGCCGCCACGGTATCCTTTTCAAACTCTAAATTTTATTTTTAATTTAATTAAAGTAAAATGATAAATTCAATTACGATCATCAGGGTTTTGTTGTGGCATTCCATAACCAAAATTAGATGGATATATTGTTCCTGCATTATGTTAAATAATAAAATCATTGTTTAATTACCATAGTTAGGATCCTGATAATATTGATGGGTTTGATCATATGGATATTGCGTTACTTGACGCCCATATTGTTGTTCAGGATTTGATTGCAGAGTTCCAGCACCTTTTGATTTTTTTATTAGATTTTAATTTAATTGCCATATTAGGGCCACTAGATCCAATAATATTAATCGACCACACGTGAGATCTGATCTTAAACCGCAACCTAGTATGCATTTTAAATGCAAACCAGATGGATCTTTCTATTCCTTACACTAAATATTTAAAAAATTACCAAGAATTCCTCTTTGTATTTCCCTCATTGATGCTTTGTTAGCTGCCTCTAAATCTTTTCCTTTTTCTGAATTTTATTTTACTTAAAATAGAAAGGTTAATTAATTCACGATTTTGTTCATGGAATTTTTTGAACCATTTTTCAATCGTAGTTTTACTTATAACTTCTCGACCAAATGCATTGCGAATATTTCTAGCTGTATCAATTATGCTATTACCAAGTTGTGTTAATAAAAAGTTGTTAAGCTCCTCACTAATCTCTTCTCCTTGATTATTTTCTAATAATTAAAATTGAAAATATTATGTTCAAATATGTATATTATAAAAACTCGTTAGAATGGCCGTCAACCGAGACTTTGCAAACTAAGTGCCCCTTACAAAAGAGCCAAACGGAATTTGGGTATTGAATCATATAAGATTTAGTCATAAAATTTTTTATCTAAATTGGACATGCAGAAAATCCATTTTTGCCGGGCAATACCCAAGTACATAAGATCCACATACAAAAGTCCCAAAACTATTTCTTTTATGCTCTTTTGATGTGCATACATTTTGGCGCAAGGTAGTTTGTCAGTTAAAGGGGGGTGTGTTGTTCCAAGAACGGGATATTGTGAGTTATGTTTTTTTACGTTCAAGGATAGATTTAGTCTATCAGGTGTCATTCGAAAGAGCTTGGAATCGCATCCCTAAACACCACACAGTTTAGGTATATGAGAAATAAGCTCTTTGATCAACAATAGTGTGTGTAGATCATTTGATCAAATTTTCAGCCTTCGTTTATTTTAATAAGAAATTATTTTTTACCTTCAAAGTCTACATCATTGTAATCAATAGAACGTTGTTCAGTTGTGTTATACCCTTTAAAGTGCTATTTTTCAACCTATACATATTTTATTATTTTACATTTATTATTATTTCGAGGACGTAAAAACTAAATCACATTTTTTATTATTTTTATTTTGTATGTTTAGAATTTTTCAATATTTCCCCGAAAAAATTTCTCTCTGATAAAAGTCACATCCCTGACTTCCGGACGATTGTCGCGATACAGCTATGATCAGTACATAAGCTAATAAGTAAGACGAAAGGATATGTATTTTGTACGTTAACTTAGGAATTTTTTGGATAAGGGACTTTTTTTAAATAATTTTTAAATTTTGTAAAATAAAATTAAAATGTTTACGGTTAACTGCAGTTTTATGATCTGAAGAATTCAAATGGTATTTAATCTTTGTCATGTCAGGAGTAAGAACCACAAAGTTATAGCCATTAACTCTACACGCTTCACATTCATAACAAAAAGCTTCATTATTCGGGATAAGAAAATTTCTTGGATCCAATTCTTTAATTTTATATAAACTTTTCTTGACTCCAATAAATCTTGATTCCAATCCTTCTTTTCTGCAAATTTTAATTTTATAATTAAAAGTGGATTTTTGGTAAAATTCCACAATTTTGGGCGAGTTCCGGAAAAAATTGTAGAAATAAAACTAAAAATAAATATATTTGATTTCCCGGTAGAAATACACATAGTAATTTTTTGACGGGGCCATTAGATTTTCTTGGATTTTTATGATTTTCGTTTAGTAAATGGAAATTTTGAGACGAGAAAATTTTAATAATTAAATAATTATAATCATATTAATTGTCTACTTTTTTCATCATTAGTGATTTTTGTTAATCTTTCATCCAAATTCTTATGTGCATTGTTATGGCCATCAAAATTATATAGCTGCTTAAACCAAAACTTAAACATAAAATATGTATACTTTAAATTTTAATATTTTTATTAAATTACATATCTCCCACAGCGATTACAACCAACATATATCTTTTTATCTTTCATTCCTTCAGCCAGATGATAATTATTCAAACCTTCCTCAACAGCTTCAATCCAATTATAACGATCTAGTTAATTTTTAATATTAATTTTAAAATGTTTAAATTATGTGACGGATTATAATGTTCGATTTAAATAATATTTTGAAAACATATTTTTAATAACTTACAGGCTTTTGATTTATAGAAATCTTTTGGACCTTCATTAGGAATTATTTTCATTTGCACTTTGCTGTTATGTAATTGCACATGCTGAGGAATATTGTAAAAATTTTCCATTTCTTGAAAAGGAACGTTTTCTGAAGCTAATGGCTCCGCTTCTTGATGAATATTTGGGTCAGCTGAGCTTGTTACACCGATGTATGCTGGTTCTGTTTCTGTTCCAGTTGACTCTACCTCTCGGTATTCAGTAGGATTAATTCTACCTCTTTTTGAAGAACTTCCTTTTTTTCCTCTTCCCGATCCATTTATAGGCGTTACAAATAAAAAAAGAAAAATAATAATTGAAATTTTCATTATTTTTCTGAAAATATGTTTATATACATATACCTAATTGTATTAAAAACGGTAAAATTGAAGTTTGTATACTCGCTTTCTTTTTCCTTACTTTATGATTTAAAATGGTTAGAAATGTACATTATTATGAATGGTCAGTTATGATCGTTATGAATTGATTTAACGAAGAGATTTTTCGTTTCGGTTCCGGATATCCTTAGACTGATAGATCTTTTAAATAGCTTTCGAATGATAAATTACACTAACTATTATCATTAAAAATACTTGAGAAAATTTGATTCCCGACGATTTTGGGAATTTTGATATTTTCGATCAGAACTCCCGAATACCTAACCAAAAATTCCCAAATGCTTTATATTGGACTTCGTATATTGGACCTTAGAGGATGATTGAAAAATGGTATAGGCGGCCATTCAATAAATGGCAATACCGTATATTATTTATTAAAAATATGGGCTAAATTATAAAATATTTAATATGTAAATGGAGTAAATATAAATAAATTAATTGAATTTATTGCTATGGCTAAAATGTATTATATATTAAAGCTTTTCCCTCATCTTCCTCGCATTTAATCATGCCCCAACAATCAATTATATAAAAATCCAAAATAAGCTATTATAGCAAAATAAAATAAAATTACGAGTAAAAGGACAGGATAGCTTTAGAAGGATACAAAACTTCGGTTTGAGCATTTCTTGAGATTTAGATTTCGTAATCTTACTATAAAAGTATTTTAGCCAGTAATTTTTAATTTTTCGTAGCTGCCTTTATTCGTAAACATACTTCGTAAACAATTTCAAGTAAAGTGAATCTATAAAAGTATTATTTGAACAATAATTCTTCTTACAAAACTTTTATTGAATCAAAACTCAATATAGTTTACGAAGTATGTTTACGAAAAAAGCAGTGACAAAAAATACGAAATACAAGCTAAAACACTTGTATTAAGTAAGAGTACGAAATCGAAATTTCAAAGAAAGCTCAAACCGAAG